GAATGCCGCATAACCCTGCTTGTTTGGCACGGACAGAGGGACACACAACCGGTCCTTGCATAGAACTCATTCTCCAAACCTACACACTACAAAGTACACACCAATGAACAAACTAATAAATAAGAATTTAATGTTTATATACCGATGGTGTAAAACAATTTTATATAATTATCCGATTACAATTCATCATAAATAATAAATTAGTTGACTTTCAAATAATTATCTTAAAAGTCACTTCTAATTGATTCACCGTAAAGCTTTATACACTTTCAAAGTATCATCATTAAACCCAACAAATAAATAAACTAGATGCAATAGATTAAAAAATATGTGCATACTTGAGTACAAAAACTACGATAAACAAGTGTATAACCAAATTAGATTAATATTAGTATGATTCAAAATTAGGGAGAAAACAATTGCAATTACGAAACCCGAACCAAACCGATATTCTTATGCAATTTGTTTTGGAGTAAAGTATCGGATTCAGACCTGGAAGAGAAGAGATGCGGGTCTCCAAGATCGATGAACACAATCACGCGGAACGATGAATCGTGATTTTGAATCGGACGGAAACGAAATGAATTTAGAATTAATTTAACTATGATAATTGGAAAATAAGATGTTGAAAGAAAGGAGGGGAAAATGGAGGTTGGGATAAAGGGGAAGGAGATAAGAGATTCTTTGAGAAAGATGTCAAAGCAAAGAACTAATTGTGTATATATATGGAAAGAGAGTGTGAGAGGAACATAATCAAAGCTTGCGTGAGCTTGAATCATATATCCCACACTCAAGGTACAATCACTCTTATACCCTCTCTCTCTCCCATTTATTCACTTTCTATAATTCTATTTTGCTGCATGTGTGAAATTCAAATGCCACAAAATACAGCACCACAAATTAGTATTTTACATGATGATAAAAATAAAAACAAAAATAAAAAATATTACACTACAATACAATAGAAATTATAGAATACCCTTGGGAGGAATGGAATGTTCTCTTTGTTTTCCTGTGTTTGTGATCGAGTTCTGAATAGTCAACTTCAGTAAATACTTTTAAGAATATAACCTTCTTTTTTTAAATAGGATAAACAACAATGGCAAAATTAATATGTGAAAATGTGATTTAACTAATACTTTTTTTAACTGTTAATTTTATTTTTTTTTATTTTCAGCTCCAGCCACCACCTGTGACACTACTACACTCTTCAGCCTATCCCTGCTCTACTTCCATACATAGTATGATCATCGCAGTCCAAACCACATGGGAACATGCAAGGGAGTGAAAATAATCAATATATAGATATAAACAACTTACAACTTCAACAACAGAAACAACATTTTCAACAGTTCAACGTTCAACACATAACAACACTCAACTGAATCACAACTTCACAACACAATAACATATATACAACTCATATCAACATCAATTCAACTCATTAACAACTTATGCGTCATCACACATTTACAACTCGGAGATCTCCTACAACGTGGTGAGTAGTCTAAGTGGCTAAGTCCTACCGAACCGACAACACAGAACCTTTTTAGGCTTACTAGGTAAACAACAAATTTAGATAGAAATTCACAACACAATAACGATTTCTCAGACTTTGTCACTTAAACAAGTAAGTATCACTAGTACAAAAGAGGTATTCTACGTCGGTTATTTTGAGCTTTTTACGTCAGAAAAAATACCGACGTTAATGCGGGAGACGTAAATCTACGTCGACCCTGTAAAACTGACGTAAATTTATGTCAGACATTACCAAGGTCCGACGTAAAAAAGTAGTAAAAAATATAAATAAAAAAACATAACGAATGCAAGCAGAACGGGCCGTTCTGCTTCGTAGAACAACCCAAAAGAAAAGGCCAACGACCTATACAAATAGAACAACCAAAAAACTGAATAGAACAGATAGTCACAATAGCAATGCGAAGCAAAAAGGTGTTAACGAAACCTTGATTCATACTTGATGAGCTGCAACAGTGTGCGAATGAGTAACAAAGAGTTCACCCCACTCTGCAAAAGACAAACAAATGATTCAGTAACAAAGGAGAGGGAGAGGGTTTACAGAGAAAAAAACGAAAAGTGATGAAGAGTGAATGCGCGCGGAGTGCCTCACACTCTCTTATTCAATTTCGCGTCCTCTTTTTACGTCGGACCTGGTAGGGTCCAACGTAAAATGTCAAATCTACGTCGGACAGAACATACATCCGACGTAGATTTGACATTTTACGTCAGACCATACCAGGTCCGACGTAAAAAAGTTCGCGAAAATTACAAAAATGCCACCGCGTCTTTTTTACGTGGGATTTTAGTGTTTCCGACGTTAAATAGGTAACGTAATATACTAATTTTCCACTAGTGTATAATACTCTGTCAGGATAGAACAGCTGGGTTTAGGCCTACCACGAAATTAGCTAGCTTAACTAAGCCACCTATGGGATTAGCCTACCAACTATCCTTCAAATACTACAACCCTTCGATACTCGGTTAGGAACTAAATTCCCGACTTCGTACTTTACTCATATTGGGCGCTTGTAATCGGTATAGCTCGGCCTGACCCCTATACCGTGGTCGCTTCATACACGTGTCCTCGACCTTGCCCACACACGGGACCAACTAAGTCCTAGAGGAGAAGAACACAACGTCCACTCCAAGGGACAACTTCCCAAGGAGGGTTTTCAACAAATTGGGCTCTCAGAGCACCACAACTATCTTTTAAAATAATTTTTTTAATTTTTATATTTATTTTTTTCAATCTTTTTTGGATCTCATTTGAAAGAGTTTATGATATTTTTTTTATATCTGTTATTTTACAAGTGTTTATGTGAATGTTTTGATAAACTTATGAAATAAATTATGAATAATTCAAAATATATTATTTTAATAAGTTGTTCAATATAGTTTATTACATGATTAATGTGTGAACTTATTAAAAATATAAAAGTTTGAATCTTATCACCAATTCATATAATTTTTATTTTTATTTTTAAATTCTTTTACTAAAATATAGTTTTATATATTTTTTCCATTTCTTTCTACAGTTTTTGTTTCTCTCTCCAAAAGTTTTGTTTCTCTTTATTTATATTTCTGATCCCCTTCAATTTTTGTTTCTCTCTTTCCCAAAATCCACATTCTCTTATTATAAAAAAAAAATTAAAAAATCATAACTCTATTTTTTTTTCTCAAAAATAATTCATCTTAAATAATTTTGTTGTTGATATTCATATAATTATTTTATCATTATTTATAAAATATATAAAATTAATTTTTAATTTTTAAAATTATGGCTCTTAATTTTTAAACATGACTATATATAATTAATTTCTCATATTTTATTATTAATTTTATTTTTTATAAACTAAATCTAGGTGAATGTTGTGGAATTTTTTACTCAAATAATACTATTTTAAAAAAAATTACCCAAATAGTAACTATGCAAATTTATTTCCCCAACTAGTATCATTCACTGTTCACGTTCAGAACGGACTGTTCTGATTTCACAACGGGTCGTTCCGGATTAAAAAATAACACATAACGAATGAATCAGAACGGACCATTCCGAATTCAAAATCAACACATAAAAAGTGGAACTAGAACGGACCGTTCTGAATCCAGAACGGGCCTCTCTAGCCTATAAATAAAAAAAAATTGGTTCGATTTTCACTTATCAAATACCAAAACTCAGAAAATAAAGTCAAATAATTAAATTTATTGAATATTAACATTATAAATATAACTAAATAAATTTATTAAAATTCAATACAACAATAAAGATCAATGGTCGTAGAAACTGATTATGTTGTTCTCTAATGTCCATCTCTGTTTTAATCTTGTTGGACTTTGGCCGACCCGCTGGGAAACTGATTATGTTGGCGAAAACTGATTATGTTGCTCGCATGACTCGCTAGGAGATTTACAGTAAGGCTAAATGAAATGTGGTATGATTGCGGCAAGTTCTAGAAAGTTCATATCCTTTGCTTGCATGACCCGCTAGGAGATTTACAGTAAGGCTAAATATAATGTAATTTGATTGCGGCAAGTTCCAGAAAGTTCATATCCCTTGCTCGCATGACTCGCTAGGAGATTTAAAGTAAGGCTAAATGTAATGTGGTGTCCAGCAAGATTAAAATAGAGATGAGCATTAGAGAACAACATAATCAGTTTCTGCCACTATTGATCGTTATTGTTGTATTGAATTTTAATAAATTTATTTAGTTATATTTATAATGTTAATATTCAATAAATTTAATTATTTGACTTTAGTTTCTGAGTTTTGGTATTTGATAAGTGAAAATCGAACCAAAATTTTTTTATTTATAGGTCAGAATGGCCCGTTCCGGATTCAGAACGGCGATTCCACTTTTTATGTGCTGATTTTGAATCCGGAACGGCCCGTTCTGATCCATTCGTCATGTGTTATTTTTTAATCTGGAGCAACCCGATTTGAAATCAGAACGGTCCGTTCTGAACGTGAATAATGAATGGTGTTAGTTGGGAAAATAAATTTGCACAGTTACTATTTAAGTAAACTTTTTTAAAATAGTATTATTTGAGTAAAAAACTCGAATGTTGTTACTAGTAATTTTTTTTTATCATTTTTAATATTACTGTGATGTATAATGTTACTTTTAAAAATTATTTAGTTACTTATTATATTTTTATTTTACTTTCAGTAAAAATTTAATTTGTAATTTTTTAATTTTAGAATGAGATAACATCTTATAAATACTTATATAATAATGCATTCAAACACTTTATAATTGTATAAGTACTTGTTAACATATATTTCTAAATATAACAACTTATTAAATTTTAAGCACTTTATAACAATTATTTTATTACATAAAAATTTATTATATAAGATCTTAAATAAGTTGTTTATTTCTACCAAAAAAAAATAAGTTGTTTATCCAAACGGGTTCTTAATCTTTATAATTTAAAATATTTTTTAGTCCTTATCATTATTTTTTTTTTTGACATGGTAGAGACTTTTAATTTTGTAAGGGTAAAAAAATAAACATCACAAATGAGGGTACAAAAGAAGCACGAGACGTCAAAAAAAATCTAATTTAAATTAAATTTAGTAAAATAAATTTGATATTAAACACATAAAGTTAAATTAATATCAATAATAATTATCACGTGTGAGAGTATAAAAAAAACACAAAATATCAATTGACCGAATTTATAATAACTTTAAGAAAAATAACTTTATCATGAAAGACACAAAATTAAATTAATATTTTTGTTATGTCAATTCAAATCAAACAATGTTATAAAAAGAAAATAACATGTGTCTATTTAAAGAAAAGACACATGGTGTCTTTTACCCACTAGTTTATAAATAAAATGGCATTCTGCAAACATTGTCACCGTAGTGGTGAGGGCGGAACACTTACACTTTCTCTTGTACTTTATATTGTTGTATGTGAACAGGTACAAAGAATGGAATAGATAATTTGAGTGAAGAAAAAATAAAATATATTAGAAGATAATTAAATAATGTCAATCAAAATCTTAATATTTTTTTTTAAATAGTGAAGTAGTATTCACAATTAAGAGTGTAAATAAAGAGTTAAAAAGAAATACAAAATATTTTATACTGGTTCATCTTAACCACTAAAATTACGTCTAATTTTTTCAACCTAATCAAGTTTTACTATCTTTTACCAAGATACAAATATTTTTTAATAAGTCACTTCTAACTCAATTTTTTCATTTACATCTTCAATTAATTACCCAAGTATTTTTTTAACACAAA